GGGGGGGGGGGGGGTCAGTGTCCGTTCGCTTATAGGTGTACACCCCGGGCACGACAAGAGAGAAAAAAAAACGTTACCATCAGCTACTGCACATGACATCACCGAACGTCGGTAGTGGTTGGGTAAATTTGCAACTAAGATGCTTGTTTTGGACCACCCTGCGCGCTTCTTGCAATGCTCCCCTTAAGACAAGCCCATCCTTGTCATGCTGGCTTGTACCGATGGACGCGAACGGCTGCTGTGTATTTGTACCACGTGTAACGCAGCTATGTCAAGGCAGGCCACCTGCAGCGCTAACAAACGCCTTCTTCCTCTTGCAAAAAAAAACACGCCCTTTCCTGGGTTCCTTTCCTTCAGCTGCACACAGCACCTCTCGCTACAACAAAAAAGACGTATGCCACACGCACACACATCACCTGTGAGAGCTCTGCACGTGCCCAAACTCCTCCTCAGGCACGGACACAAGCCCCCTCGGGTGCACCCGCCACATGAGCAGCTCTCCGAACCCATCGTCCTCCCCGGCACCAGCGTCTTCCACGGCTGAGTCCGCGGGGTGCGGGAGGTCCACCTCCAGTCCCTCTAGGAGAACAGCGGTAGACTTCACCTGCACTTCCGACTCCGGTTCGTGCTTCACCTCGGCGATCGTCCGGATGGACTTGTGGAACAGCGTCATGTCGTTCTTCGGCCCGCCTCCCCCGCCCCCCCGCCTCGGCCTCGCCACGCCCCAGTCGAAAAACTTGACCCGGAATAGGAACGGCTCACGGTCGTCCCGCACGTGGGTGATCTCCTCCGCCCACCGCGGGCGCGCCACCGCATGGACGAGCTGGTGGGCGACCTTGCCGGCGCCGATGCGGGCCATGCGGTCAGCCTTGTCCCCGATCCAGACGAATACCTCCGTGAATACGTCCAGGATGAATGCGGCGTCTCCCTCCAGCATCGACAGCATGGGTGCCCCGTCCTGTGGGGGGGGTTCAGGGTCGAAAAATAAGGGTCGGCGTGGTGACGCAAGTCTGGCTGCGATACCTGTCAAGCTGGTGATCAACGATGATACGCTCGAGTCTTGGCTCGTTGTGCCTCCCGGTCCGTCTCACTCCATGCCTCTCGTCACTGGGTATGTCTTTCTTGTTAGGATCCACCGCGCTAACCGGTCTCTCCCTCTCTTTCTCTTCTGCGTATGTCTTTTCTACCTCCCCCCCCCCCAGCACCATCTCTCCCATAGATCCACACACCTGTTCCGGCTCAAGCTCATCCCCGCCGACCTCCTGGATGTACTCCCTGCTCGTGCAAGCCACCAGCGACAGCTGGAGCCCGCCCTCCGCCTGGGTCACCCGAAACAACGACACGGCAGGTCCCGCCCCCTCCGCGCTCGCCCCCATGAGCGACATCCGCCTCTGCTCCGCCCCTTCCTCCTCCGCCCCATGCTCGTCTCCCTCCGCCGCGCGCACCTGCAGCTCCAGCAGGCGCTGCTTACGGGCGCGGTCGAGGATGCGGCGCAGTTCCGGAGGCTCGTCGTCTTCGTCGACTTGCACCACCTGTTCCAGGGGTACCGTTTTCGGTCGATCCGGTTCGATGGAGGTGGACGAACACCGCACGAAATAAAACACGCGAGAGGGTGGCAAAACAGGAGAAGGGGTTGATTTTAACAGCCACGACAACGGTACGGTACGATACGGTACGGTACGGCGGGTGTGAGGAGCAACAGCAGTAAAATCAGCAGCGCGGAAGGAAAAGCGAACGGGCCAAAAGAGCAAACGACCAGACAGGAGAGGCTATTTACAAAGCGAGAGAAGGTTGAGCGAAATCCTGTACCTTCTGTCTCTGTGCCTTCTTCTGGGACTGTACAGCGAACGTGGAGGCCAACACGGCCGTCAAACAAGCACCAACACAATGCATATGTAACGACACACAACCAACGCCGGCAGCAGGAAATAACGACGCCCTAGGTCTATAACCCCAGCACTACCGAACCGCATCAGCAGTGCACCCTCCCCTCACGGGCCCCCAGATACATGGGGCCTTTAAAAGCACTTTCCGTTTTAGCCGCTCTTGAGGCTGATGTCGCTTCCTTGGTGAGAACCGGTCAAGCGCGGTCGATGCCAACGAAACCAATGCATACACACACACTTTCCCGTCTTACGCATACGTCCCGCTATACAAGACTCACGTCTTACTTTCATCGGTCAGCCGGTTAGCGCGGTCGATGTCAACTCAAAACACACACACACCTGTCCGCCCTTGGGGCAGTCCGCCTTGAGCCTTGTGGCCGCCTCGAGCCCGAACCCCCGGTGCTTGAACGTCGACAAGGTGCCGAACCACAGGTAGAGGTGGCCGTTCCGGTCGTCTACTAAGAGCACGCGCTCGTTGCCCAGCTGGTCCTCGTCGAGGTCGATTCTCCCCACGGTAAAGGACGAGTGTAACGGCGGCCGGTTATACCGTTCCGGCTGGGGGGTTCCGTCGCTACCGTCGCTCCCCGAGGTTCGCATACGCACTGAGTACATGATCGGGGGCTGCTCGTTCCACTTCTTCACCTGGCGACGGAACAGAAAGTGAGAAGGGGGGTGGAACAAAATGTGTTTAGTGCACAAGGGAGAGCGGGGGGGGCGGGATGGGATCGAGATGACGCCTAGGATAATGAAAATATGTCGCGCGTGCACGGAAAAGACACATGTTCGACCCGTGGCGAAAAACAGGCATGTACAAGCTTGAACGAGTGTGAGAGAGACGAGCGGATTGCCTCAACTCGTACCAGGAAACTCATGCTTCGGAAACAGAGTCGAACCTGTCCACCCCCCCCCCCCCCCCCCCCCCCCCCCCCCCC